GGAAATTCTATGTTTTTACATTCATTAAAAATACTTCATGAGAAATTCCTTTTGAGATTAATTTCCCTAATGATGTTTTTTACTAGTGAGCTTACCAGCCCAAACTTACTTATTTTTAGCCTACCTAATTATGACTTGTGCTTGAGAAAAATTATATGTAACTAAAAAATATTGATGGCTGTTTTATAAAAATTTATTTATTTAGTGTAAGCTATGGAGTTCAACACTCGTATATTATCACTTCTGAAAACACAAATAAACACCCGTATTTTAAGGAAGTCGCATTCGGATGAGACAACAACGGCTGAAACCAATACGGCCTCCCTAGGATGGTCTCATTGTATATTGTTGCTCTCTTAAACAATAAGTATAAAACAGTAATAAGAATTAAACAAAATATTGGGAAAATTGAAATAATAACAAACAATATAAAAAATTAAATCATTAAAATTATATTTTATTTTATCTATTGCAGAGCGCAACTGTATCATTATTTATTTTTATAAAACAAGAAGTCAGCAGACAAAATAACTCTCTGAAAACCACGAGTTTTTTAATCTGTCTTAAACTTGTGTTATTGTTTCATCATCATAGATAAAATATGAGAGTAAGCACAGAATGCAGTGTTCACGTCCTTTGCTTTGCAATAAGATAAATAAAATTGTGATGCATGCTTTCACGCATATTTTTATCACAGTCTTCAGCCAGAAGATTTTCGTATTCAGTGAAGTTTTAAATTCGAATATTGTTTATTTCAGAGATATGGATTTTATATATGTAAATATATAATCACTGTAGATTTATGGTTATCATTATATTTGACAATTTAGGCTTTGTGTGTATTATTAACGAGATCTGTAATGCGTATGCACACTTAACTATATTTCAAAACAATTTCTATTCAATTTCATAAATTACAATTTTGATTGCTATTATTAAGTTGAAGAATGACAGAAACTTAACTGAGCTGAACCTGAATTTTCCATAGAGTGCTAATTACATTTCTTTTTTTCATTTGAACAGGAAGCTCAAACCATGTGCAGAGACAATAGTACATTTTATTTTTATATACCTTTTACTTCGACGAAAGATATGCCCGTTTTATGCTGAATTCACCGCTATACAGGTGAATTAAGCATAGAAATTGTCAAAAAGGAAATGTTTTAGCTTAAATATCATCTCATTTACCATATTTCCTGTACCTTAATTCATTACTGAACTATATATACATAAATAAGCAATTAAATAAATAAGTGTTATAAAGTTGGTAGTACTATAAATAATAAGAACTATCTACTTTAGTTAATAAGAGCTAGCGTGCTGTGAATAAGTACTTTGAAGCATATCGTGAATAAATATTATGAATAATAGTATGAATAATAATCAATAAGAAACTCTTTACGCTTTACATGAAGTAAACTATTGAACAAGTAAGATTGTATCTCTATTGTATGGCCCACCACCGACCGAACTGTAAAATCGCTGAACACTGCTAATTAGTAGTATTCAAATTCCATGCATCAACATTTTGGGGGCTTCCTAACATGTAAATTGAAAATGAACAAGTCTACTTAAAATAACCAACTCACAAATGACCGGAGACGTGAAGTAGTTTTATGAATGTGTGTGTGTATTTAATTATGGCAAAGCACACTAGGGCTATCTGCCTAAGGGGAGAGATGCCTTCGTGGAGGACTTTCTAAGGGAAACTGGCTCGTATACACGTTACACATGGGGAAAACCACGAAAACACCCATGCAGCCAGCCCATTCGCGGGATTCGAACCTCGGACCAAACTACCAGTGTTCAGCGACTTTACCGCTCGGCCGCTGGTGGGCCAGTTTTATGAATGAAGTTCGGTGGAGTCGCTAAACATCGGTCGTTCGATCAGCGCTCAATTCTAAGCAAACGGTCTCACTGTGTGGGCATTTTCGTGGATTGTGTCATGTGTAAAGTTGATACAAGCCGATTTCCAGTAGAAAGTCCTAAAAAATGGTATTCTTTCTTTTAGAAGGACATCTCTAGAATCATGTGTCGTAACCTAATTAATCTTACTCAGTTTACTCGGTTTCTCCGTGCGTAATTTAGATACGAGCCAGTTTTTAATAGAAAATCTTCTATGAAGATATCTCTTCTCATAAACCAGGGTTTCTTAAACTTTCTGATGTGAGAACCCGATAATATTTATTAAAATTTTCTGGGACCCCCATAAGCACTGAAGAAAACCGATACACGTGTGAGTAGAGCGAAACTATCAGTTTCTTCACTTGTACTGTAATATACTATTATAGTTTTAGGTCATTAACTTTAATTTTTAAAGTGAATTGAGATTTTCTATTATAAAAAATAAAAACGTTTTCGTTTTTTCTTTGTCTGTATTGTCTAATCTTTATCTACTTTCAGATAAATATTTGGTAATTGTAAAAATACTATAATAAGTTAAAAAATATGAAAATTGCTAAGATTTTTGGTGACCTCCTGCTGCAGCTTCCGCGACCCTCAACTGGGGTGGGGATTCACATTTTAAGAAACTCTGCCACAGACAGGTAACTTTCGAGTTGCTTTGCTTTAATCGGTTAACATTAATCTAAAATTAACCTATCTTGCGTTACAACTGCGAACAACGTCCATATGTGATAGATCTATTTTAGCAAACCTGGATAGTTAGCGTTTATAATTTTAGCTAGTTTATAACTTGTTGAGTAAACCTTCAGCTAACTGAAGCATTGTTTAATTTACAGTCTCATTAAGAATAACAAATTGGAGTCTGAAGCTGTTTGCAAATGAAAATGATCAGTTTTTTTCCAATAGTAATTAGGCAAGATTCCTTTTCTTCGACAGCAGTTTCTGAAAGCGAGAACTATTTTAATATGAACTAACTACATTTGTAGTTTACTAAATGTAGCTATGCTGGTATCTCGTTTCTTGATGTTCAAGAATGTGTAACGTGTATGCCAGCCAGTTTCCATTAGAAAATCCTCTACGAAGGAGTCCCTCCCTTTAGGCAGATAGCCTTTGAGTGCTTTAACGTAATCAAATAAACCAAACCAAACCTTATATTGATTATTTTTACGGGGTAACAATCGATTAGTAGTATGAACAAGGATTCAATTAACTCTTCTTCTAATAACATAAATGTATTTGAATAATTTCCTCAGAATCTGTATTATGTTATCAGTAAATTTAATGTATTAAAAGCTAAAAAACATGCATATCCTGAAACATTTTTTGATTTCCCCTTGAAAAGATTTAGAACACTGATGTGCATTTCTTTTTATCGACAACAAAAATTTTGTTTTAATTAATTAGATACGGTCAAGATAAATAAAACATTTCATTAATGAATATTTTAAAAATCATTCTTTAAAACTAAATGAATGTTAGAAATTTTTAAATTTGGAATAAAATGGAATTTAAAAACAGTTAATTTGCATTAGCACAAAATATCGGTTTACTAAAGATAATTTAATGGTGAAAAAATATTTATAAATAAGAGTATTTTTCTATTCGATTATTTAAAAGAATATATACAGCGAGTTATTTAAAAATGATGCAGACCTTGCACAAAAATAAAATGGGACACTTCTATATCTCCCGTTCTACTGGGTCGATTGACGAAATTTTCATGTCTCGAAAGCGCGACTTATATTAGATTTATATATGGCATTTTCCTAACATAGGCATCTTGGCAGAGAAGAAATGACATAATTTCGATTCTACGACTTAAAATAAGCCAAATTTCTAATTTTTGCAAAAATCGTACAAGTAGTTTTTAAAAAATTATATCTTAAAATTTTAGCTCCTCAATGTTAATTCAATATGGTAGATATTTATCAATCTCCTTTTTTTTTTTTTTTTTTCAATTTACTATATTCCTTCTTTAACAGTTAGAAATTGAGGTTCAATCTAAATACAATTCGAAGCTTTTTTCTGATTTGTTATTAAAATTTGTTATTTTTTAGCAATTTTTATAAATTTTTCAAAAACCATTTTGAAATATAGCCTATAAAACTTTTGCCACCATCTTAAAATAGATGCATTTCTAGGCATACCTGCAAAAAATTAGAATTTTTTATTCAAAATTTCCGAAGGTATATATATATATATTATATATACATATACTGGCGTGCTTTAAAATTTGGCAGCAAAACATGGTTTATGCACTTCGTTAAAATTATTTGAAAGAATGAATAATGCACCTTTCATTTCACTCTTGAACTGTGAAAGGAAAGTTGGTTACCATAAATTTCGCTAAGTGAACTATTCTTGGCGCAAACTGTAAAAAGAATGTTAAGGAAAACAAAATTTAAAACAAATTAAAATATTTTTTGGTAAGTTTCTCGTCAAATTTTACAAAATTTAATATTAAAGCATAATTTGAAAATCGATATAGAAATAAGTTATTATGTCATTTCAGAAAAAGTACGATTTTGTGTCAGAATACCTGCGTTAGAACAATGCTGTATATAAATCTAATATATATATTAAGTTGTGCTTTCGAGACAGAAAAAAGCAAGTTAAATTTCGTCAATCGGCTCAATAGAATGGCAGATATAGAACTGTCCCCCTTTTTTTGTGTGCAAGATGTACATCAATTCATCAATTCATAAAAGTTTCTTCAAAGTGGGACAGAGGACTCTGAGAAACAATTACTAATAAAAAACTAGAGAGTAAATGGGCTCTTTGATTTTTATACAAATATGTATATAAACAAATAGAAGTATTATTTTTGTAATGATTAATATTTATGAGTTAGCTTTTACCATAAAAAATTGAGGTAATTTTTAGTGCTTCACAAAACGGTTCGAATTATCGTATTTCGAACAGTTAATAAATGGCAGAAGATATTCCAGTCGAAGAAAATTCACGTGACTAACGAATTATGTCATAAATAATGATCAAATCGAAATTTAGATAATAGTTTAAAATATCATACGGTAGATAATACACAATGGTAATACTTTACTTCAAGATAACATTTTCCGTGTGACATCCTGATACCAAAATGTGCGTGACAGCATGTGCGATATTGGATCCTATATATATTCTCACATTTGTCAGTTTATCATCACTGGCATATCCTTATAAGTTAGACGAGTGTTAGATAAATCTTGTTGGCGTTGTTGAATCAAATGAAAGTAAGTAAAAAAATTATATCTGAAAACTTTTAATATTTATCTTGACTTTTTACAGTATATTTAAAAAAATAACTTTTTTTGCTTTGGCAGAAATGTGTTTTTTCATTTCTTTTGTAGTTTTGTTGTAAATGAAATTAATATTTGTGAAATGGTTTTAAATTATGTAATATTTGGAAGTCAGTCTAATTTTGACCTAAATACGAAAAATGCGTTTTACGTCTTAAATTTCGTTAAAAAAAGTATATTTCGAGATAAATTCAGAAATGTAAAAACACGGTTATTTCTTGAATTAGCAAATATAGGCTAATTTAAGGTTATTTAATTTATCCTTTCCCAGGTAAGCTGTTTGAAAAATGAAAACTATCGAACAGTAAATCTAATACAGTTGAATCGAAATTGTGTATACTTCTTATTTATTGTAACACCAGTTTAATAAACCTAAATAATACAGTTTTTGTGAATTTGAAATATAATAGAATTTTTTTACTATAGTACAGATCAGTCTCCAATGCCATGCAATATTTACTATCACAGTTATCGAAATTTGGTTGATTTAAGGTAATGCAAGGCAACTAATAGCTGCACATTAAATTTTTGCATTAAAATTAAAATGCAGTATGCGACTGAAAAATAGCAGAACTTATTGACAGCTAATTATATTAATATTACTTATTAATATTTTGAAAAGCTGTATTTCGGTGCTAAGAGATAGCTAATATTCATAAAGATACATAAAGATTCATAAAGATTTCACTGTTTAAATTCGGATTCATGGATACCTGAATGATTACATAAAAACGCTATTTAAATATGCTACATGTAAGTTTAAAGTTACAAATCGGTATTCGATAAAAACTGAATTTTGTTATAGCTAATAATTCTTGCAGACTTTCTTTATCGCAATAAGAAAATTATTATTATTGTACAGGTCACGTAATTTCAAGCCAAAGGAATACTATTTCTTGACATATACAATTTAATATGTAAACGATTTAAGAAGCTTAAATACATTTGACAAAATTTACAATATTTTAACATTTTCAGATGGCAGTGCCAGTTACTTACTTTGCTATTCTTGCTATCGTTGTTCTGCACAGCGTGAAGGCAGCTACAATATTTGATCCTGAACTGGATACTCACTGGGAAAACTTTAAGGTAAATAACTTTTATTCATAAGCTTTGGATATTATATTGTTGAAATGAATTCATTTTAATAGAAATAATTGCCCAAAAACATTGATAACTGAATTTGCAGGAGACTTATGTTTTCACATTTCTTTTCGTTATTTAAATAAGGTTATTAATTATTAAAGAATTAAAAAATTTGCAGTTATTCCTGCATTATAGATATATTAGCTAGATAAAGATAAATAGAAAAAAATGTATTTTTCTTATTATAAAATAAAATGCAATCATAAAAGACTTTTATAGAATAAGCTTAAATTTTAAAATATTTAAAACGCATAGGAAAATTGATGCACTAAAAGGCGAAAATAGCCTATTATATAGTTTAAAGGGAATAATATATTAACTAATTCTATTTACAGAATTCATCTACAATTTTAAGTCACGAATAATAAAAAGGAAGACCTTCATGACAAATTTAAAGAGATAAAGTCTTATGCATTTGATAATATTAAATTAACATAAAATTAAAAAAGATAATAGTTTATATATTTGGCAATGCAATTAAATTATTATATTTTATTCTTTATAGGCACAACGTTTTATTCTTCACAATATCAAACTGTATATCCGAACCTTATTTAGATGTAGAACTTTTAAAATCAAAGACTGAATTCACTGATGTAAACAATAAAATTATGATATGCTTAGTTCTTTCGTTAAACGAAGATATGTACTAAAATTGTTTAAACATTAAATAAAAGTATCTAAAACAAATTTTGGAAACAACACTTTCACTACGTACAAAATTTGATTTGATAGCTTATCAGGAAGTAGGTTAAAAATAGATGACAAAATTCCAACCATAGTAAAACACCCTGAGTGAAATAAAGCTTCAAAAAAAAGTATTTTCAAATATTAGGCGGACGTAAAGATAAGAATTTCTGAAGCAATTTTCTAGGAGGAAAAAGACAAGAAAAATTAAAACCTTTAAAAATAAATGTAAACTTAACGTTTTTAGTGCATTATTATTTTCAATAACGTGGAAATTAAGTTTTAAGGTAAAAGGGTTTTATTTTCTTTTTCCAGAGGATATTTCAGAAACAGTATAGCGGACGCGAGGAAGGAGCAAGAAGACTCATCTTTGAAGGCCATGTAAATGACATCGTGAAACACAATCTAGAATTCGATCTCGGAATTCACAAATACAGAAAGGGACTCAATGAATTTGCTGACATGGTGAGTACGACTAGTAAATTCTAAAATTTTTATTCACGTAATATGATAAGATGTTGCAAAGCAGAGTAGCAAGATTAGCATTAAATTTATTTGAGGCCCCAGGAATTCTGAAGTGAAATTTCTGTAGATGACATTTCCTGTAATAGCCTTATTTTTACTAGATAAAGTTGAAAAGGGATCCAATACCAGAATATCGAAATCTGAAAAATGAGGATTGTTTTGTTAAAAAGAATTCCAATTTATAGCAGCTTTATTCTATTTTCTTCCAAAAAACCCTTTTAGCTCTTAGTCAGATCAAATTGGAAATTCAAATCAGAGACATTTTAATTTTTATTAATTTAATATACTCATTACTTTAAATGTCAACACGCGAATTAAAATGCCTAAAAATATCATTTTAGTATTGAAAAATAAGTAGTAAACATGCATTTACCTTGAAGGATATACCACACCGATGGAGTGGCTTCTACAGTGGACCAATGGGTTTACAGTAATATTTCTCTTATTTCGCATGAACCTTACCGCGGTCTAAGTGGTTGGAAATGTTTTGCCTCGTAATTTCTTGTAAAAAATAATGCATCATGAATAATGATGCATCACTTTCAAAATGAAAGGAAATTTTCAATGCGAATATCAAATCAAATTAAGCATAATCACATATATAAATAGCAGAGGACTTAGCATTTTTATTGAAGTCTATATGTTCCATAATAACAGTCAATGTACAGTGAGTTAAATTTCCCATTAATAACTGTTCAGTCTTAAATGTATTGTCTGCACAAAGAAATACATTTCAAACAGAACGAATTTATCTAATTCTCAACGAATATTTTAAATTTATTTATACATAACCTATAATGCTAACAATAGGTATAATCAGATAATTCATAATATATATTTTGGATCTTAAACTTTCAAAATGAAAGGAATATAAGCGCTGAGAGAAGAAAATACTAGATTCGTTGTTTCTATGTCATGCCGCGAACATTAATCCGAATATCAGTGCATGATAAATTTCTAAATTACTGCTATTCGCGAAAGTGAAATGTTGATGATTAAGTAAACTTATAAAATGAAAGCACTACGAGATTTTCTACTAAAATGGTAGCAGCATTTATACACCATACATTTAAAACGCCGAAACAATTACAAAAGAAAATGTAAACAACTGCATGCACTCGTATACACTCTCTCAAGATTCAGCGTCACAGAAGATATAGAAGTCATCGGTCCATTTTTTAAAACTCCTCCCTCGATGGCAATACTGATATGCATTTTTGAATTATGCCTCCGGGATATGAGTCTCCCACATCTCTTTCACTATTTCCAAACCACTCGAGAGGACTCTCGACTCGGTTTATATACTGAGTGCCCCCATTCCACTCAGACACTATTCATTTACGAGCATTCATGCCTTCTCCAGGATTTTAAAGTACGCCCTTCGGTAGGGCAGTCAGAACTACTAACCGCTATAGTGTTTTGTCGGATGAAAAAAATTTAAAGTATACATGTAGCAGTTTATTAAGAAACGTTGCGTTTGTGTCCCAACATTAACTTTGCTGTACCACCGGAGGAACATGCTATTCCAAGAGTCTTTTAACTTCGTTTCTTCCTGTTTGCATATGATTTTAACTGAACAAACCTCACTGATTGCAAAATTTGGCGCAACATTTTCTTCGTAAATATCATCCATATATCTTAATAGCAGGGGTATCAAATTTGATTTGAATTGGTTGATTAGAATAGTCTTTGCATAACTCTGGGCACTGTCAGTTCATTATAAACACCTTGCAATTTTTTCTCCTACCAGAGCAAAAATAATAAAAATAATTTGAAGAAATCGAGAAATTTCAAGTATAGCATTGTAACAGCTATGCTAACAGCTTTACGCTTTACTATGAACCGCGGAAGCTACTTCCCAATATATTATATTAATGAGTTAGTTTGTTATAGAGTACCAGCATGAAAACCTGATTCTAGATATTATGATATAAAGCTAAAGGACTACTTTTGTAAATTTATTTGAATTAAAATCATTTACATAGAAAATAACTTTACTATTTTTAAGGAACATTTATAAAATGAATGTTTTTAGTTTATGACGGGAATATGCACGCATGTTTAAATAAGAGTTAAATATTGATAACATTTCTTTCCTAGTGCAGGATGACATTGTTATTACATTGACTACCTTTTTGTACCTTCCCAACAACATTTAATGATTACTCCAATTTTTAAAATAGATCATTAATTTTATTCTTTGTTCGTATATATTTTTATAAGCATTATAATTTTTTTCGACCCCATTTCATAGTCTTCTAATTTTTGACCTATGTCTGATATCAAAGATTTTCTTCAAATATGTACATATATTTATATTTATTTCCAAAGAAACTTCTCAGACTAAATAGGAATAGCAAGAATTGAAAAACCGGAAATGCAAATAAAAATCAACACACAAAGCAAATAGACATAATATAAATATTACCAATAGAAAAAATACATTTAGGGAAATGCGTAGTAACACGATTAGAAATAGAGAAACATTTCTAAATTCTGTAACAAGTGTGAAAATAGGAGGAAACGAGTAATGTGTGTGTACTATTTCCTGTATGGGAAATTATAATAAAGGCTTTACTCTATTTACTTACCTATTTACATATCTAGACACATTATATACAAAAATTTAATTTTCCGCCACTTCATTTCATGTTTAAAACACTTTTATGTATATATAACGATTATATATAAACTTCCGGAAGATCGTAAATATATGATGATTCATACAAGAATAGAAATATTACGTCAATAAGATTCCAAAACATAATGCAATTTATTTACATCTATTGTCATGAATGAATACTTATGTATGAAAAAAAAATTGTCATGCGAGTCTGCGCCTTTTTCTCACTTTCAATAGGTTTAAGATGGGTATATTTTTTATTGCTCGTTCTATGTTAAGTACTTGTATGCGGTCAGTAATTCAAAACAAACTTGGTATTTTAACTTGATATACTGATGTTTGGTGTCTCGCAGATTTTGCATGCAATAAGTATTGAGACCTCATTACCAAAGCAACAGGACAAATATTTCATTTTCCTCTTGACTGTGAGTTGCATGAAGCTTAAATTTGCCAAAACATTTCCTTTTTATCGATTATTATATGGAAGTTATATTTGCCGCATAAGCATTACTTTGGAAATTACATGTTTAATTCAGCATTCATTTCATCCACCGTATAAAATAAATTATAATAGCTTCTAACCATCAGAATAAATTAAAAAAAATTTCTGTCTTAACAATATTGTAAAAATTTTAAGAACTTTAATTTAATTTATTTCTTTTTGAATTTAATATAAAAATGCTAATAGAAATAATGATAGGAACACAACATAACTTACTTATGCAGCCTATTAAATTATGCACTTTTTTCAGCTTCATTGAAACATATTTTCTCGAATTATTCTAACTTAATTAACCGATTTGCCGAGGCAAGTTGAAAAGGACACCAAAAGTTGCAAGTTTTGAAGTTCAATACTATTTCAAATATTTTTCAAACAAGTTAATTTTTGTCGTCTGGAAGTCAAACTTCGTCTATTTTGTTTTCATAACGAGTATACAACTTTCCCAAATATAAGTATAGGAACCAGGAAACTGCATCAAAAGTTAGATTTCATTATGTGTCAAATAAACATACGCGTTTGGTTCTGACGATTGAAATAAAATCATAAAATGATTTATATTAAAATGGAGATGCAGAGTATGCACAATAAGATGTTACAAAAGCTCCATAGACAAAAGTTTGAAGTTTTATTGCTAATCTTTTTGAGTTTTGTATACGTACGTACAAACGTATGTACGTATACGAAAGGCACGAAAAAAATCTCTTTTGAATCACTTTATATCCATTTTACAAAGCGTTTTATAAAACACTGCTCTTTATTCTGACTGTACGTACAAGATGTTATGCAAAGAAATCGTCCAAATTGACTTGGAATTGGTCAAAATGGATATTTCTGTTGAAATATTATACCCAAAGATTTTCGCGATTATGATACTACTTTTACTTCGTCAAAAGAGCAATAAAACTTTAATCTGACAAATGATTTCTTTATTGCAAATACAGGTTACTAATAAAAATTCCAAACTTCTTTTTGTTCCCTACAGAGCCATGATGAATTTGTTAAAACCTTGAATGGTTTCAAAGGAGCGAAACTGAACAAATCCACTACTACATTTATTCTCCCTTCTAACATTGATTTACCAGACACAGTAGACTGGAGGCAACAAGGCCTTGTCACAGGAGTCAAAAACCAGGTAAAACTTAACACATTAAAACTGATGTCAGATATTATGATTTCTCAGAGTGTTTGCACTTTGAGTCTTAAATGAAAGCACTTAAAATTATTAAAAATTATTTAAATATAGGGTCAATGCGGATCTTGCTGGGCTTTCTCAACAACTGGATCGCTAGAAGGACAGCATAAAAAGAAAACTGGGAAACTTGTTTCCTTGAGCGAACAGAATCTTATGGATTGCTCCAGACCTGAAGGTACATACTTTGTACTTTTTGAGTAACATTTATTATACTTCTGCTCAAATAAGTTACGTTACGTTATGGCACTTTAGTAGTGGATTTGCTTTAAGATATTTGGCTAATACGGCTAGCTCTATGGAATCCATTTGCAAAGTGCCACTAACATCCTTTGAGTTATCGAGATGGAAGGGATAGTTGCATGCAGACAAAGAGTTAATAGAGTTTAATATTAAGACTTTAATCTTACTGTTTGAGCATTACAAACAAAATTATAAAATAAACAGTCTGCTTGATGGAACTAAAACTCGCTGTTCAAAGATAATCCTACGAAGAACCGTAATCCCCTACTTTTTTATTAAGCTAGTTATAAAATCTTTAGCTTACCTATTTGGATAGGAACTTTTTCTCGTCGTTACTTACTTACTGCAACATGAATATTCAACGCCACTGCTTCCAGTGGTTTGATCTTTATGATCTGCTGCATGTATGACCAGACATCGGCTGGAGATCTTCAGGTTCACCAATCCAGGTAGGCTATCGGTAACTGCTTAAATCCTTAAGCTCTTAAGCTGAGAGAACGAGCTCGTGACTTAGTTCGAAGTGAGAATAATATGCAAATTGTCACAACATATATTGATGAAACCGAACAAACTTAAATCTTTAAGAAAATTTTAACAGCAGCAAGAGCACGATGTTGTAACTTCTCTCAAGCGTTTTACTTGCAAATATCAAATAATTAAAATTACATATTTTAAAATACTACACAAGCGTATTTTAAATTATCTAATTTTAATTATTTGCTTTATACTAAAAGAAATGTATTCAAGCAATATTGAAAACCCTACATTTTTATATATTTTTAACATCATGTGAGTAGTTTTGACGAATTACATGTAGAATAATTTAGACAACTTGTTGAAAAGTCTATTACTATTATGATATGTTTCATTTTCAGTTCTTATCCTATAACGTTTTCTATCTTCGGGAATGCAGTTTTCTATTTCATCAAAAGCAAGACATTAAAATACTTTGTTTATCATAAAATATATACATGTATTATGGATTTATTATTTAAATAAATTTTATGTAATTGAAATGAATGTTTCAGGTAACATGGGCTGTGAAGGAGGCCTTATGGATCAAGGATTTGAGTACATCAAAAAAAACGGTGGCATTGACACAGAGCAATCTTATCCATACACTGCTGAGGTGAGATGAGTTTAATATATGCAAGAAATTTCAAAATATTTACGAATTATTTGAACGAAGGATCTTAAACTAATTTTAACAGTAAGCAAACTTCAAGCTTTAATTTGATACCTTTTCCGAGCTTCTATTACAGGTAATACCAATTTTATAATTTTTCATACAAATTCAATCAGGAGTTCCTAAAATAACTTTTTGTTTCGTTGAAGTTGATGAGATTTTTATTTCTCCCCTACAATTATGATATTTTGGCTATCTAATTTTTTGTGTGAATATACTACACTTTAGAAACTAAAGGTAATAATTTAAAATTGTAAGTTATAATTAGGAGATTACCCAGTGGTATGCAAAAATTACAACTGGACTAATTTTCATATTTAATATCGCGCATTGCTGTTTCAGATCGGTACAATACATGCAGTAACATCTCAAACTGTCAGAATATGGCCAAAGTAAGCATTGCTGACGAAGAAAGGAACCCAAATAATGTGTGTTAGTTCAAACGTGTATTACGAGCAGAGCAGAGGGAAGACAGAAACGTCTATATAACAGGTAAAAGGCAAATTCTTTCCTCAGAAAAGGACAGGATCCTATTTGATTACAGTGCGAGATATGCACCATCCCTTCTCAGTATGAGGTCACATACGAGCTCCTGTAATATCGTGATCGATTCATGTTTTAGAGCCTATTGTTGTTGCGAAATTATTGCTGGGACCTCAGAAAGTACTTTTAGGGGCCTTCTTAAGAACGTTTCACTCGTGTTCTAATTAGATTTATATGTAGGACCATGCAAACCAATTCGCATGGTTAATACTTGTACTTTGTAACAGCGTAATCACAGTCACTGTAAGATGAGGTGTAGAGTTTTAAAGAGTAACTCAGAGCCCAGAACATTACGAAAAAGATACAAATAAGGGAAGAAATATTTGTACAATAGAGATCACCACTAACTGAAATTCTTTAGAAGAAGCAGCTCTGTACTCTCTGCAATCACTATGGCTTTCGAAACAAGACCTCCATATATACTTTATCAAACCTATATTTTTTAACTGATTTGGAAGAGTGACAATGTCTTCCTCATTCTCCTTAATATTTAGATTCGCGAAACATCCAATGATTGGATTGATTACCAACCACTGGTCGACCGTAAAGCACGATCTACTTCATTGCTGAGTTTACCAGTTTTTGTGCTTCCGGTATCCCAGAAAGTGCTGTCTCCCATAAGCAGGCGTCACAGTGCATTTTTAGCACATATTGCTTGTCAGCAAGCAAAAAAACTATCTATTTACTCTTTTGAGGTTTAGACGAAACTTGACATCGGACATCCTGTGGTGCACTGCATTTATTTTGCAATTTCACCACTGTCTGTACTAATCTCTATTCGTGTATCGGTCACGAACTACTGCTTCATCGCCATGGTTGCTCATGAGTGAGCAATACTAAGTACTGAAGCATCCGTTTCCATCGTTCCAAATGTCATCCAAGCTTGCTAGTAGCGTTGATGTTGCGTTCTATCCCAAACTCCTTGGTATTAGTCACCCTTCAATCTTTTTCCGCCTTCTCGATGATTCCAGATTGGGTGAAGTGCGAGACTGCGACTGGGCATATCACACTCAAACAGAAAATGCATATCGTTCAAATTATGGGACGATAACATTAGATTCCACTGAAATACCGAGACGCCCTTCTTCATGCTTTTACCGTGGCCATACCGTCTTACCGTTCCAAACTCTCGGCTATTTCTTAACTGATCTTTAGGTCGGTTCTGTCCGCTCGTTTCATAATCAGGTTAATTTCTTTGGTATCTTAATTATTTTGCATGTTTGATTGAAAAGCATGAATCCTATCATGAACTTGGATATGTTATAAAAATAAGTAAACAATATGCATTTAGCCTTTTACTCTTATTTGAAAAAAGTATCACTATCACGAAAATTTCTGCAAGTATCATAATTAAATTTTAATATTTAAATATTTTTCTTCTATTTTGAAGGATGGAACTTGTCATTTCAAAAAAGCTAATGTAGGAGCAACTTGCACAGGATTTGTTGATATACCGTCAGGTGACGAAAGTGCCTTGCAAAAAGCAGTTGCAACAATTGGCCCAGTTTCCGTTGCTATTGATGCAAGTCAGTTTAGCTTCCAACTGTACAGGTAAACTAGTCTTTTCATAACTTATATTTATATTTATTTATTTATTTATTTTTACTAGATTTTTTCACAAAAAGAGAAATTTTTAAGTCACCTTTAGTCATGTAATTTGAAACAGGATACTGTGTACTCATTCAAATGTATTAATTACTTTTAAAACATATTTCATGAGCTTAAATTAACTGTGGAATTTAAGTATTTTTAAGTGATCATGCATGCATTAGTGTAATCACTTTATTAATTGAACTATCATTCATAGCTTTTATAAAGAATTAAAGCGTTTCTTTATATATAATTTCTTAAGCAGTATGAAAAGGAATTCTGGGATAGTATTTGCTCCTTTTTTCCAATTAATTCTGATAAATACGTAACACTCTCCACGTATACTTTCGCTCCTTGTTCCTGTTCTTTTCAGTCATGTCCTTGAAATTCTGTCCTCTTTCCTTTAGAATTAAGGAGAAAAAAACTAGAGCTTAGTGCAGTGTTCCATTCAGACTTCATTGCATTAAGTTTTAGTTTTATTTCTTTTTTCTTTAATTCCATCGACGAGATCCAGCAAAATGACTAGCAATTAACCCACTAGACCAGCTGTTCTGTCGAGTAAAATGAAAAAATTCTGTATTTCGTTCTTGCAGCTTGTAAATACTACAAATATTATAATTCTTCGTAATAGTTTATACCCTCATCTCTTTGTTACTGTATTGTAAAATTACTAAATATGATATTTCTGGTTCAGGAATTAGAATCAGATCGATAACAATCATTCTATAAAACTTCTATTTTAGAGAAATTTTGACATCATGATAATGATTTCAGTTATTCTGAACAGAATGATTGTTATTAAATAATTCGGATTACATATTAGTTTATGTAAAAGTTTACCTTAAAATTATTTTGTAATACATTTTACTATATTTCTATTTAAATTAATTGACTGATATTCAGAAATCCTTTAATCTAAAATTTAAAACTAAATACGAGAAAACTAATTGTTTTCTTTAGAAGTACTTAAATAACTTTCTAGTATGTTTAATATATTTTATTACATAAACTTTCTAATTTTTCTTTAGTGGCGGCATATATGATGAACCAAACTGCAGCACTCAGACTCTTGACCACGGAGTCTTAGCCATCGGATATGGTACTGAAGACGGAACTGATTACTGGTTGGTGAAGAACAGGTAAGTTAAAACCCCCGGGAAAATCTTTTGAATAAAAAGTGATAAATCATTCTAATAAATACTGAAATAAAATCCTTAAAACGTTGTCACTGAAGTAATTACTTAATTTTGTTTCTTACTAATCATGAAATTTGAAGCAATAGCTGGTACATCCGATAAATTCTTTCACAACACGGTAAAAAATATAAGCGTGTGAGCATGTTAAAAATTCTTCACATCAGGCTGTCGGATGAATGATGAAACAATTGAATTGGATAATACTGCTTGTATGTCAACATCTTATTGCGACTGAAATCACATGACCCATGCAGAACAGAAACGGGATTGGAAACTTTTCATTTGCCAACATAAATTTCATAAATCCAATTAAAATATACTTTAGCAACATTCTAAATTTTTGGATCACATGATTTTGTTGGCGACATCATTTTCCGTGATCCTGGATCATGTAATTAAATTATTTGAAAACAGAACTTTTATTTCATTTTTTTAATAATAGCTGTTACTAAAGTAATTCATAGTATTTGATTCTGTATTACAATTTTACTGATATTGCTGTGTTAATAAAGTTATAATCTACTAAATTAAAATACATAAATCATAAGAAAGCTGATATTTAGTCATTTAATTATTTTTGAAAAGCAACCTTTGACTGCATGTTGAAAAGCATTGCGGCGTGTTTCCGTGCACATGCCAGTAGATCCACACATCTGTAGTAATAAAATAATATTTCAGTCTAAAGGTAACAATATTTTAACTCAATTAAACTACAGGTTATGAGGTATTTCTCCCACTTTCCTAGCGTGCCTTTGTGGTGAAGGAGTCAGCACACTGAGCCAGTATATCAGACGTTTGTGCTTCGAATCCCTGCGAAGGCAACCACCTGTTCATTTTTCATCTCTCCGGCTTACAAAATACATAATATCTCTACAGTGGCGCCCGAACTAAAAGGGTGTTGGATGAGGTTTCTTCACACCCAGGATTTGGCGATAGGGTCCCCTGAAAACCCCAGTCGTCCTTTAAAAAGGGGAGTATATGAGGTATTTCTCCCACTTTCCTAGCGTGTCTTCGTGGTGTAGTGGTCAGCACACTGAGCCGGTATTTCAGAGGTCCGTAGTTCGATTCCCGGCGAAGGCGGTTTGCTCATTTTTTATCTCTTTGGCTCCCAAAATACCTATTGTCTCTACAAGGTGTGCATGTGAGAGGTACTCTAGAACCGAAATAAAAATTTTATGAGTTCATAGAAGAACCTGATCCAACTGACAGTAAGGTAACACAGAAAAAAGCTTTGCAACCTGACAATTATTTGCTCGAAAAATGAAATTTAAATTTCTTTAGCTTCTTCGATGTCATTCTAATCGATATTGTAGTGTTCGTGAACTATTTTACATGCATTAAAAAATGAGTTCTAGGCCGCATAGCTCCCGTTTAGTAGAATTTGCTTTTTGAATAGCTTGATTGTGTTAACATGTGCTGTCAATTTAAGCAATGAAGATTCAGGGAATTTGTAATTTTATGAGGAAGGAATTCATAATTTTAACATTCTTGAAATAATATTGCACTAAAATGTTTAATGGTAAAACTGAATCATATCAAATTAAGAAAATGAATAATTTTAATATAAACTGTAAATCTTACATTAGTTGAAGTATTAAACTTAATCAAATTTCTTATGATTTATGACAGTTAATCTTTGATTGTATTGCTTTAAGTTTCACATTTCATCTTTTTTAGCTGGGGAACCTCCTGGGGTGATAATGGCTACATCAAAATGTCGAGGAATAAGAATAACCAGTGTGGCATTGCCACTCAAGCTAGTTATCCATTGGTGTAAATTTTCAGATGTCAATTAATTTTCCGAAAATGAACTTTCACATATTTATTATTCACTTTATTGTAAAAATTTAAGAATATGGTTTTCTTCATTTCTTATCCGCTTTGAATAAAAGCATGGATATTTTAATATAATTTGTATATATTTTAATAATAAAAAGCATGTTTTAACTATATGTTTCCAATTGTTCATTATTTTCAGAAATATGGTAAAAAGGCTAACTCTTTTCTTCGTAAAAAAACTATCTAAAGAAGCTTCCGTTGGCATAGAATAAAGCACATTTTCTCCCTGAAAGCATGGCATAATTTCAACAATAGCTTTTAACCTTTTGATACCAGGACAGAAAATAAAAGTTGATTAACAATTATCTATTTAAATATCCTTAACGAACACAATAATAAGAACAGTCTTACAAACAAAATTCCTCACACATAAAATTAAAATAACACGAGTTTAAATTAAAATCATTATTTGTATAATAAGATGCATCTCAGTTTTAATGTCCACCTACATCCCCACAAACATCCATGAGAACATCCCTAAAGTACATCTCCTACGTACATCGTAGACTAAAAAAGTTTGAGATGATGGTTTTTCTTCGTAGGAGACGACTAGATAGATATTTTAGCCATCGAATACTTAGGGTACATAACTATTTGTCAAATAAAATTGAATTATTATTACTAAATATAAATTTTCGTAAAGAATAATAATATTTCTATCAACACTAGTAAATTTAATGCTAATTGAACTTAACCAAGTAATATAATGATTTCTTCGTACTTAATCGTATTTATGCTATTTTTAACCGCAATTATGTTACTTTTCTTCTTGCGTCTCTTTCTTTTATATAGTATGTTTACAAACTATAAAGTTAAACAGAAACTATATAGTTTCTGTTTAATTTTTATTTTATAATATTTCATTCTAAAACTATTTATATAGAAAATATATTTACGGAAACATTTGAAACTCATGAAGGGGTATTGGTAGGTTGATTTAGGAGATTTCCTTAACCACGGTTAGAGAATGGTTTTATTCCCTGTATACTGCAAAAAGGCATTTCTCCTATATAGATCACTCTTTTTGATGGAAATGTTGTTTGTAATTCACAGGGAATGCAACACAAGTCTCAATTCTATTACGTAACGAGGCCTAAGTTGTGATGATTGCTAGTATAACCAACTGTAAACCTTTAAATATACTAGTTTGAATAGAGTTAATTAAAAGCTAGAATACTGAAGAACTGTGTAGCGACTATTCGCAAAGTCCTTTTGCGTAACAACTTCAAAGAAGGGTTAAAATAACCCTCTATTCTAACTCAAAATATACTTAGAAATAGCCCTTCTTGGGCGTACAAGAAGCCTCTTCTTGGGTTTAATTCAAAATATAAAATATAAATTAGCATAAGTTAAATAAAAGTAATCAGCCGAAGCTGTATAGAAACAAACTCTCGGAGTTGGTCATTAATTAAAGATACCCGAAGTATCCAAGCAGGCATATATTAAGTAGCCAAATTTATATTTATTTACTATCTGAAATTTTAAGTTTGAAACACGCAAGAAATTTTTTTGGTTACATTTTGTAAATCAAGCATATTGAGAGCTAAATATTAATATTTAAGACTAATATGTTCTTCAAATAATTCTAATATGTTTAGTTAATCGCGGAATAATTTACATTAACTTAAATGAACAAATTAAGAAAATTTTCGAAGTGATGCAAAACTAGAAGATAAATGACAATCTCGTCTCTTCCTCTTATTCAGGGATGTCAAACTCAAAGGTACACTTGGGCCAAACAAACAACGTTTAACTTTAGGCGGGCCGCAAAAAAAAAATCAATATTCATAGAAACGTATTTATTTAAAATAATATAATAATACAATAATACATAAATAACAATAATAAGTAAGAATAAACAAAATAAACATATATATATACTTATATAGAAAAGAACAAGAATATATAGAAAAGTTAACAAAAATTTATTCTTTCCACAAGAGTTAAATCAAAATGCTGAAATATTTCTTCAAAAATATTCTAACAATATCACAAAATGTCAAACGTTTAGCAAAAATCAATTCAAAACAGAGAAACTAATTCTATCTCACAGCGAAATCGCTACAAATCAATCACAGCATTAAGTAAACAAACAGTTCACTAGAACTACAGCTACTACTGAGATGAGTTGTTTGTTCTCGGCTTTTATAAGCTTTATAATTAATTTCTCGAATATACTGGAACATCTATAAATATCTGGATTTTTGTGGATGGCAACAGCAATTACGAGATATTTATTTATTAGGTATTAAATGCACGCGCTGTTCTATTTTTAACCTTCCAACGCAGCTGTCTTTTCAAAAATCGTCTGCGTTGCTAAGGCAACATGAAGCAAATCTAATTACAATTCAAAATAAAAAAAAAAAAAAAAAAAACTAATAAATAAATAACTATGAAATCCGTAACAATATGAATTAAGTAATAATTAATAATAAAGCAAAGTGCATGCACATGCATGCACCAATATATCGTACAAAAACTATGATTGGAAAACTGAGACCATGAGTTCGGCCACATTCGGCTATCGGGGGATGCGTACAAGTTCTGAGTGCACGTGTCCCCCAAAAGCCGAAGGTAGCTGAACGCAAGCTACTCACACGCATTTGTAATTTAAGTAGTGTGTGTGTCAGCTCGCTGTGAGTAATCTAACAACACTGAATAAATTATCGTTAATTACTTAGCAGTAAACATTTCATTTTTTTTCTTCGTCGATATGTTATTTTTATTATATATTATTATTTGCCGATATATTGGCCGGGCCGCAAAAAATTTGTTGTGGGCCGCGAGTTTGACATCCTTGCTCTATTCTTGCTTTCCTTTGGCACATAAATACTCCGTTTGACAATAATATGACTTCTTATTTTTCTACAGACTGATATTTGATGCGTACGTTTCTGACAAGTTTGCAGCCTGGAAAATATTGCTGAAATTATCATCATGATTGCAGATGCTCATTGATCACCAGGATCCTTTGATTAAATTTTCAACTGTGAAAAAAGCGGTCCTTCATTCAAAACAAAGCGATAACTCTTAATGGAAAAATCGTAACTTAATATACTTATTTTTGGAAAGTACGAATAAGTTATCAAAAGGTTATATTATACTGAAAATTAATTAGCTCAAGTTTATAGGGTTTCTTGTTCGTTATTCATTCTCATTTTTAGTCGCAATTTAAATAACATATACTCAGATTTCAAATATTTAAATTCTTTAAATATCCATAACTCCGTATTTGCATAAATGAAACTGATTCTCAGGCCATCATTTTAAGACCACTGCCTAGATCCATTTCATTTAGACTTCATTTCCATTCAATACATAGTGGTACATTTCTGTCATAAAAGTCGTCGAGAACTTTAATTAAAAAAAAATTTTAAAAAATCAATAAAAAAAAAATCTGAACTGTTTCAGATTTTAAATTACGTCCAAAGGGCGTTTTTTTAACGTTTTTGAGGTTCCTTATTTATTAATATCTGTTCTTTGCACAACATAAAATTCAGTTCAAGAGCAATATCGAAAATAATTTAAATTAAGCATATCTTAGAATTTCCGATATACACAGTCTCGTGAGCTGGAGATAAAGTATTTTTTTTATATAAGCTGCCATTCTCGCTTTAAGCATTGAGTTTGTATCAAAATTCGTTAAAGTTTTTACAAAATAAAATCTATAATAAAACAAATTCCAAATTTGGGATTTCAGATGCCCATATTCGCAGTAGGATTTCGTCATTCAAAATTCGATGGCTCTATGTACCTTGTTTATCACAATGCGAGAAATAGACAATCATCAATCTGCTAAGCGATTTTATTATTTATTTCTTCAAATATAATGCAGACCTAACTTTTGTGGCAACAGTTTGGAAAGTGAACCGACGTTTATGAGTCCGACGCAAAATCGCAAAACGAAAACAATAGTCCTTCAGGGACAAAGGCCCTTTCGACTAATAAATAAAATAAAAAAAAAAAAGAACAAATAATGCAATAATGCATTTCATACATTCATCACGTATGCGCATTCCCAGATTTCATAGGTATTGCTCTTTACGTTTTAATTTATTCACACTAGCTGCCATTAGAGGTGGTTGAATAGGTCGCCGCTTTTTCGGATGGCCCAGACTTTCCTTTCCCCATCGATGACAAATAGCTAATAGCTTTGTGCTTTGTAATCGATTATGAAGCTTCGATACTTTGTTTACGTTTTAATGTGGTTGTGTATATGGAAAATCTTGCGGAATTGATAAGGGCCGCTCTTTCATATTTAATTTTTTTTTTCTTGCTGTATACGAGAGTGGACGCAATGTGAATAAATCTCTATGCTACAGTCAATTATTTCCATTATTCGAATTAATTCATCTTGAGAACTTTAAAAATCTTAATAAACAAAAACTTACTCATATTGCTGATACAAAAGTATTGATATGCTTTGTTCAATTCTCTTGTTAATAAAAAACAGCAATTGTGCATGTAATGACAGTAAAAAATAGTTAAAATTTATATATGTCTGTATTGCTGCCTTAGTAATAATGCATGATTATAAAATAAATATTAGAATATACTGAAGTAATAATTACATATGTTAGAACACAAGAAAAGAATCTGAATTTTTATTTATTTTAGTGACCCGTATTTGTTTTTTTTTTTTAATTATGTTCACAGAGTTCTTTTTTAAGTTTTCCCCAAACAGCAGAGATGTGTGACCTAAATTTTGTACTGAACAACACAAATTATTTTCAAAGAAAAAAATTATAAATTCTGCATTGCCTCGATTGCTAGTTAAAAAAAAATCATGTTTTCCATTTCTCCACATCGAAAAATTATACTGGGGGGGGAGGACACCACTTCATTTGGCATTTGATGTTTTATATCAATAAAAATCCATGGTTTTAACCATTGATTCTAATTTTAATCCTTCTTATTGTTAGCTTTAAGGAAAATTTGCTTTATTTGCATTTTAGTCTCTTTCTGTCAATAGTGTATTAAGGATTTGGTTTTTACATTTAACCATACTCTCCAGTTTCTTTCTGTTGCTTCTCTTCCTTACACCCAGTGGCATGCCGCTGATGAATGCATTATTCAGATTCAAAATGTATAGACAGAAGAAAACTGTATACCA